TTCATTCGTTCCATGCTTGCTTTGCAAGTATGTCTTCTCCTGTCGCTGCTGGTCAGATCAATTCTATCCGAAACTATTTTATATCGTCACCAAATCAACCACCACGCCAGCCACAGCCACCCAAGTTATTCCCAGTTTTCAAGAAAAAAGTTTGCCGTACAAAACTTGGTAAACAATTGTACAACGGAAGTACAAGTGATTCGAGTGTAGGGTCAGACACTGAAAGTGCTACCAAATCCGACTTCAGGCATCGCTACGCATTGTCAGTAAAATGTGACTTCAGGCATCGCTACACATTATCGATGAAACGACGAATCGTCGTATTTATTTGACATTTGTTATTCCCATAACAGTATCTTTACAGAATAAATTAATTGCAATGATACATCATTAATAATTACTTGTCTGTTTTGGTTGTGTGTGTGTTTGCCTATCCCCTTCGCTATTTCACAATGAAAAAGTTTGATGACCCTGGTTTAAGAGCCACTGGCTACAAAGTTGTCAAAATGTTACCTCAAATAAGCACCACCCAGAAATGAAAGTGTTACAAAGTGGCTCTTATTTGAGGGTTTTTACGGTATACACCGACTGTGATTGAGTTTTGTGACAGTTTTGAACAACTTTCACAGATTTACAACACAAGAAGAATTTACAAAATGATTCACTACATTCTTTAACATTCTGTTTGTTGTTATGACAACAAGGTAGTTTACTGATTGCATGTGCCCACTATGGCGCTTATGTCACCGGGACCGATATTGACTACAATGTGATCCATGGACAAGCAAGACAAGTCGTACAAATACAAAATCCAAATATAGAGCGTCTGATGAAAGTATTCGTACAAATATGAAACTCTACATATGGAAAACATTATATTGATGTTATGGTGGCAGATACTTCGCATAATTTCTGGAGAGAGCAGTCAGTGTTTGATGCCATTGTCACAGATCGTAAGTATGATTTAAATTTTCCCATCATTTTAAAAACAAAATACAGTGGATTTGCTAAATCCTAGCTTATAAAATTTATCCAAATTTTGGTGCGATTTTATTTCTTCTACACATCAAGTATAATTTCAAAATCTTTTGATCGGTTTGCTTACTTGGTCACTTTTACCTAAAAATGCACTCTCCATGAGTTTATATGGTACATCCTGCTCTGGTGCAATGTCACGTCACCGAACCAAGTGAGTTCGTGGTGTGTGTGAACGTAGTAAAATTCAAAAAATAACTTGCACAGATTTTCTACCATACTTCCTGCCGACCAACCACTAAAATCTAAATTCAAATCATTGTCACATACTAACTATACTGTTGGGGATGTTACTTCAAGATGAGCTTACAGGTTGTCTGATTTATTATATTATAGCACCGTATGGAATCCGAGAAGCAACAAGGAGGATAGGAACTGCACGAGAATATACAATTTCTGATGAAAAGTAAGTTTATTGAACTCTTACACTTGTTAAACCATTGTTTTAATGTTTTCTTGTTCATTGCAGTACATCAAAGTCTCTATAACATTTATTGGTTTATTTGATCTTCGAGAAGGTGCACACACTCACTAGCTATTAATACATATTAATGCAATCGGGTAATTGTTCCATTTCAATACAACATCTTTTTAGAACTATAGACTGTTTATAGTTCAACTCAACACTTGCCTCAGAAACCATACTTCAAGAACAAAAATAAAATAACATTATGATAATTTTATATTTCAAAACTGGCTGGTTATGCTTTTGCAACATCCTGCTGTACTGTGATCAATTGAATAGTTGTTTTGTCAACTACTCTTAATTACTTTGTTTTCATTAAGACAAATTTTCAAGAATTGTAAGAGTGAGGCAAAATCATGAAAGTTTGTGAATATTTTACTTAAATCATGAATGCATGAAATCACATTTGCTTTCACACAAAAATGTTCTCTGTGAGCACTTTGCAAAAATTGATAACTTAAATAAAATATAACAGTTTACAATATTTGCAGTTGTAGTGGGATTTTAAATCATTAGTTGTAAGGAAAATGGTTTTATTATTATAAACTGGGCAAGCTATGTGTAGCTTAACTATGTTTATTATATCGTAGTAATTATTGTTACATTATGTTAAAGAAATAGAATGAGTTGTGAATACACAAGCAGTTATAGCGCGGTGGTCGTCGCGCAGCGCATGTTTGAATTTCATGTAAATAAACAATGTATTTTACACGCGTTGTAGTATACGTTGCTATGAGTCCTATATCGAACAGGACACGGCACGACAACTACCGCCCTTTGAGCCATATACAAAAATTATTTGTTTCCAGTAACCCGACCTTGCCTAGATTTTTCAGGCTGCACCTGTATCTTTTCAATTGTAGATACATGGTCACCTTTCAGTTTTACTTGAAATTCTTAAAAATACTTTCATACGTAGTATGGGCTAAGCAGCACTACAGAATAATAAATTAAGAATAATTATTTAATTTTCATAAAATAAAAAGTCATTCCTACCTACCTACCATACTTTTGTTTTCAATGTTACCAGAAACACACAATTCATTGTATTTGGCCTTATTTATCGTTAGACAGAGATGTGGGAATTATTGATGTTATCATTCAGTTGTCATCAGGAATTACATTGCTATATTTACAGAACTGATGTGCACTTCCCGTCCAGTGTGGGGTACCATTTAGCCGATATATTTACAGATCTTTTAAATTTTGCTGCATGTTATCTCAAAATGAACGGAAGATTGGTTTACTGGTTACCAATATGCAGAGTGGAGTAAGTATGACACTAGAGGGCGGTGTAAGTTGGGGGTACAATCTACTTGGAAGTATTTGATGATGATTTAAATAAAAGGTAATCTTATTAATTCATGTTCATGGTAACTTCATGTCACTTCAAATAATTCCAAAAATATGAGTGAGAAATATCACGAAGTATAACGATTTAAAAATAACAATTGGGACATATCAACTTTGAATATTCTTTCAAACTTGTAAACACAATTGTGATTGGTTCTTTACATTCATGATTTAATAAAACAATGCAATATGCAGAGTGGAGTATTATGAAATGCATTTTACAACATTGTGTCAACTGGGCCATTTCCAATCATAAGATGAAGACCAATGGTGGTGGGGTACTGTCGCTTACAACTGGGAATTTGTCTTATAACTTTCTTTGAATGAACTTTCAGTTTCTTCTAATTTGGTATAAAGTCAAATTACATTGCAATCTTGCATTAATTGAACCGTTGTATAATTATTTTGGAAGACAGCAGAATTCTTAGAAGAAGAAAAACAAAATATTTTGAATGAATTCTAAGAGTGGTTCAAGTCAGTAGTACTATGATTGTAAAATTAAAATTTAGAAAATTGTGAAATGTGAAAACAAAATGCATAAAGACTCAAAGATGTATTTAGTTTTAAAGTATCATTAAAATGAGACATTTAGTTTAGATTGGTAGCATCTATCTGGTTGTTGAATTACCTAAGTTAAATATCTTTGATTTTCGCAAAAATCAGTTGGTCAAACTGATAGAATAACAATACTACCGGGTAAATATGATATTTAGATTTATTTTTATGCGACTGAATTTAATCCTAATTCACTAATATACATATATTTTATTGGAAGTTATTGTAAATATCATTAATGCTGTGCACTAGCTCAGGAATATGTTATTAATAATTTGCAATGACTGTTTTGCATAACATGAGTTGATATGATTTCAAAAATGTTAATATGATGAAGAATTTTTGATAATACATTTTTACGCTCACTTTAGATATTCTCCGGATCAAATACCGCATCATCCGTGTTTAACACTAGTATCAAATTGTGAACAAGTATTAAATGTCAATATTAGTAGACGACTTATTACCATGGAAAAAACTGAAGATTTCAAGGTATGTCTATTATGATTAAAATTTTGTTTCATCTATTCAACATTTATAAAGGTCACAGCACAAAGAACCTAGAAAACTAAGCTGGGGTATTTGAAACTGAAATTGTCATCTTAGTGTAAGTCCGTTGCTGATTGGGTGCTGAGCTGGAATGCCAATTTTTAGTTTCAAATACCCCAGGAAAGTGTTCTAAGTTCTTCGTGTAATTAGGTGTTCGTATGCAAGGGAATTTTCCACACAAAAACGACAAATTCTGCCAAATTTTGTTATTGGTTGGCTTAATATATGTGAAAGATTGGTATTTTTGAAATCTGAAAAACGCGTTTCACAACTTGTCTTTTATTTATTTAGTTTTATGCGTCATTCAAGATGGCGGCCGCCATATAGTAAATATCACATTTATTTTATTATATCAGGTGTGTGCCAGCTGACTGTGGGTCACAGTACCATAAAATATGTATTAGAAGTCACACCCATTCTTTTTGAACAATTGAGACCCAAAAAATCACCATAGAAATAGAAGCCGCATTCCCACTGTTGGAGTGTACCATTTTAACAGAGGCCGCAGCTTCTAATACAGATTTCACAGTATTTGTAAATGCAACTTTAGTTGAAGGACTGCATGCATCATGGGAAATAAAACTTGGATAGTTTCACCCATCGCTATGTATATAAACATTACTGCAAGCGTAAATTTTTTATGCCCAAATCTGACATACACCATACCATAATTTGGACTTTAATTTGAATAAACATATGATTGAAACCATATTGCTGACTTGCATGGTTGTTTAAAACACGACTTCTGTCACCTTTTTGATGAGAATTACCTTTAAATATTGTCCAACTATCATCATAATCATATTCTATATTTATTTATTTATGATTGATAATTATTCCATGGAGCCTGATTGCTGAAAATGTTGATTTTCGTGAAGCATTATAGTGGAGATACGCCACCATGGAGTGTGATTTGCATTCTGAAATGTTTTAATCTTTCCTTTTAAGTCAAAGCTGTGGTTTTAGGGGACAAAATTTGCTTAATTTTGGGATGTTTTCATATAACATGGTGTATGCGTAGTATAACATACATCACTGATGCATATTTAGTTTTACTAATCTCTTAAAGAATGGCCAATGAGTGGCCATTTTATTTCAGGCTGTGCTGTTTAGGAGGCATTTCATAAAACTGTCGGTACTTCATACATACATGTCACATGTTTGATTTCCATAAAATTATTATATTTATTTAATTTTCTCTGACAAACCAGTACTGATTGCATTTGCATTTTCTACAGAAATAGTACATCCTTGGCTACGCATACATTTCCATCTTAGTTTGATTGAATAAAAATGCACCCAAATCACATTTCCCCATTCTGGAGATCAGGCATGCTCAACATTTGGTACATACAATATCCTGCCAGAACCTTACCTACTGTATTTCTTGACCAAATGTTTTTTTAGTGCTCATTCAGGCGTAGCCCTAAAGGCGACTATTATTTCTTATTTCTGGTTTCCTTCCGTCCACCCCCTTTATGTCTCCAACATTTTCTTAGACATTCTGCAGCAGATATCAATGAAACTTGGCAGGTTGATGAACAAGTCTCTGTTGAATATGCACATAATTTTTTTTTCCAGAACTGAAAATCCTATGTGGGTCTTTTTCAAGATTTTCATCAAAAATTATCCCTCCTTACTGCACTGAGAGAACAACTGAGCATGCTCAGAATAAATAATTAGCTTATATTGTAATGCTAGGGTTTTTAGTGATGTCATGACCTTGATCTGAATCAGTGACAGATGGGTTGTACCATTACCAATCGCAGTGGAATATGTTGGGGGTGTCAGGGCTACATTTTGATGGGAATTATAGTGGTTATACTGAAACAAACCCAGGTCCTGGTAATATACAAAGACTTGAATTAACAAAGAAGTCAAGTTGTTATTAAAGCTACATCAAGGTTTACTCAGATTTATGAATGCAGTTTCTTGAGCATGTATGAGACATAGTTTGGTTGCACTTGTGTACTCTGAGATTTTGGACCGTGTAAATGAAAGTTTTCAGTTATCAGATTAAGGAAAATCACTTTATGATGAGTTGTACCCACATAGAGTACATATTAATTCAATTAATTGCAGATGTTCCATGTATTATTTTAACATGAGTATTTTATAATTAAATAACAGGGACTGTGACCTTCATGTCTTATTGTCATTTCTCACCTGACTTTCTCTATTACAGACATTGCAAGATTCATCTGCAGCCATTAACAATGATATTTACGATGGACATAATGCAATCAGGAAAAAATATTTTATGCCAAGGTTTGAACGACTGAAAATAAAAAAAGATAGGCAACAAAAAGAATCTTCATGTCCTACCAATGATGGCGCTATACTGTGAAGGACGCATGGCCACAGATTACCATGGATACCAGTGCTGAAGCTGTGACTATACAAAGTCACATGACTATTGCATTTTTAATCATTGTCGGAGACAGTTATTCTATTTATTACATGGTTGTTATGCAGATCACTACTGAAGAATTAAGTACATGTAGTTTTTATTGGCGGTTTAGATGGAAACAAATCTGACTGGATTATGATCATCATGGTGCATTGTGGGCCAAGTTACATTCTGTTTTCAAACTTTGCTGAAACAAGATCATATATCAGATTTCTTAATGACACATAATTGATATTGCAGATATTGTCATTTGAGAACTGACATCCTCGGAGCAGAGTGGTCATACACCACGATATACATTAGGTTTAAACATACATTTTGTACAAGCACTGCCAAAATACCACTGTAATAATTTTATTTTGACATAAATCTGTTGTTACATGATGAAATGAAACTGACATGCATGTTTGTCAGGTTGCACAGTCTGCTTGTGTCATCAAATGTCCTTGATGGATTGAAATAACAAAAAGGTCAAGAATTTCTATATGCAGTTTTGATTGTTTGATGAAAAACACAATACAGTATTTGCTGTATTAGTAGCACATGTAATTCCGTAAATGTCAGCAGTGTATCTATCGTTAAATTAAGTACTAGTAATATTTGATTGATCCAGTATACAATTACATGCTCTTCTATTAGAACAAATATGGTATACAATTTTAGCTTGAGACAAAGGACTGGAGTACCAATTCAAGTAAGAGTATAAAACACATGCAACATTCATTTCTTTTGAAGGGGTAAAAAAACAACATTACAGATGTTTGATTTTAAATACAATTTTATTCTACGACATATTAAATATTATTTTTTCATAAAACATCAAAGTTCTGAAATCAATCACACCAGTGAAGTACAGTAATGAGATGTACAATGGTCTGAAAGTTCCAATGTTGTTGAGAAGGTAGTTATTTAAGGCAGTGAAGTGGTAACAATCAGTGCATTTTGTTCATCTAGTAAAGTTTAATCCCTTACTCTGTACCTTGACATTCAGTCTGTGCACTCACAACACCCTGCTATCGTTGCATTTATTTATTGGTAAATAAAAAACACTACAATGAATATATTGATATTAGAGACGCCCATCCTTTCTTGCGTTAGGTTTACATGACCACAAAGAAAGTTAAAAAACAACGTATCATTAAACAATTTGACATGGCAGTTTAAATATACCGTGTGAAAATATTGCAACTTGCATTGATTCATCGCAATGCACATTTCCTTCTCATGTGGGTCAAAAGTCGCCAAGTAAATTATAGTACATTTGGGACCAGGAATGGAAACGGTGGTGTGACAAGCACATAATCCCAATCTGGATAATTTTCAACCAGATTAAAATCTGATGAAGGTAGAGGTTCATGTGACATCACATCCGGCGAAATTTAACCAAAACCCAATATACTGGTTTGTAATTCAATGTTGCTACGACCACTTGTTAGATGATAAACCTGTTCTCATCTATCGTAACTGATACATGACAGGCTATAATATTATACATGTACACAGATGAGAAGCACTGAAACAAATTATTCCAGGATCCAAATTTTACATACCCGGTACTGGCAATATTTGCGTCATTTTATAGTCGTGTGCCTAGGTTTCTTTCAATTATGAACGGTATTCCAATACAAGATGTTACGCTAAATGCTTTCCATATCCTTATAGATGAATAGATCCCTCTCAAGCTAAATGATGGTTGGAACCCCCCCCCCCCCCACCCCCACCAATAAATAATGATTTGTACCCCACATCTAA